GCCGCCGCATGCGGTTCGCAGACCCCATTCTGGCACACCCCTCACACGTTTCGTGGCCTCATAGGGCCATAGGGAGCCCACCGAAGCCCCAGTGGCTGCGCCCGATGCGGGTTCCACCCCCCATTTCTGGCACACCCCTCACACGTTTTCTTGGCTCCATAGGGAGCTCCACCGAGCGCCCCAATGGCTGCGCTCGCATGCGGTTCCCCCCCCCCCCATTCTGGCACACCCATCACTCGTTTCGTGGCCCGGGGGCGCCACCGAAGAATATATCCACAATTGCGGTATTCACAACTACGTATGGTTGGATCTTTCGTCAGGCTAATTTTGGAAGGTTTTTGGTGGATTTCGATTTGTCGGGCCATGAATTGCCGAACACGACCCAGGAGGCTCCAAAGATCGTCCAAGGACCGCCCAGGAGGCCCCCAGAAGCGAGCGAAAACGGCCCAAGAGTGCCCCAAGACGGCCCAAGAGGGCCTCGACACGCCCAAGAGAGCCCCGAGACGGCCCAAGAGAGCCCCAAGAGAGCCCCAAGAGACTCCCAAGACCGCCCCAAGAGACTCCCAATAGAGCCCCAAGACGGCCAAAGCCCTCCAAGATGCACCCAGACGCCCGAAAAGGGCCCCACGACGCCCCAAGAGGGCCCCAAGACAGTCGAAATGGGCCCCCAACTCAGCCCAAAAGGAATCCCAAGAAGGCCCAGAGACGCCGAATAAAAGAGCGATCGGTAACGCAAAAAGCTCTGCACACCAAGGTTCCCAACAGCGAACGGTTACGCGCGCCTGCGACGGGCTTGGGGCTGTTTTGGGCGCGGAGCCTTTCACTAGGGCCAGCTTCTCATCCCGAGGAAAGGGGGGTGGAGCGGTGACGTCAGCACGCAAGAGCTCCGTTGCTGGATTTTGCCAGCCTGCCCATTTGAAGCGGCGGGCCGCTCACTGGGGTGAATCTCCAGGACAGAGTCAAGCGAATTGCTGTCTCGTACTGCGCCGCGCATGTGGGTTCCATGGCATTCACATCGGCTCGCGCTCGTTAATTTAAAGTCACGCTTCCAGCATTTCAATGTTCTCGGCCATGCAGGTTAAAACGGCCATGTGGGTTCGAACGGCCATACGGGTCAAAACGGCCATGCGGCTTAACACGGCCATGCGGGCTCATACGTCCGTCGTGGTTCACACGGTCATGCGGGTTAAAACGGCCATGCGGGTTCAAACGGCCATGCTGCTTCAAACGGCCATGCGGGTTAAAACGGCGATGCGGGTTAAAATTGCCATGCGGGTTCAAACGGCCATGGGGGTTCAAGCGCCCATGCGGGTTGCCACGGGGTGTGGGGACTCGGCTGTCTGGGTGTGGGGACTGGGCTGTCTCGGTGTCACAGCAAGGACCTCTCGTTTCTGTACTTCTGCAGGTTGTCCAGCGTCCTTACAGATCTCGTCTTCTCGCGCACGTGGAACCCCCCGCGCGCGGAATGTTTGCAAGAGCCGGCGGTAACATGAGAAACGTTGCAAGACTTTTGTCTCTCATTCACTAAACATTACAAACACGGAGGCTCGCAGTGCGAACACAGACGTGCGAAGTGGTTCACCACCAAGGCTCCCAGTGCGAATGTTGACGTGGATAATTTGTAGACGCCAAGGCTCCCAGTACGAACAACGACGTAATGAGCTTCGAACGCCAAGGTGGCGATTACGCACAGTGGTGTGAGACTTCTCGGGCAAGTTTGTGAGGCGCTCTTTCCGTTTCCGTGCCGGCCCAGGTGACGGAACGAGCGAGGTACGAGCGAGTGACGTTGAGTAGGGGGCGAAGCCCTTCTTAGGGGGGGTCCAGGGGGGGTGCGAGGCGGAGACGGAAAGTCTAATGGCCCGTTTCCCTGGTATTTTTTCAAATGAAAGGGCTCCCGGGCGGCTCCCATGGTCCGTTTTTTGTATTTTTTCCAGGTGAAGCGGCCCAAGGGCTCCAAGACGGCCCAAGAGGACCCCGAGACGGCCCCGGAGGCGCCCCAAACGGGCCCAAAACGGTCCAAGAGGGCCCCCAGACGGGCCCAAGACAGCCTAAGAGGCCCCAAAGATCATCCCAAGACGGCCCCAGAGGCGCCCCAAACGGGCCCAAAACAGCCCAAGATGGCCCCCAGACGGCCCCAATACGGCCAAGAGAGCCACGAGGGCCCTCAGTGAGCCCAAGTCGGCCCCAATAGGCTCCCCAGCGCGCCAAGAAGGCCCCGAGGGCTCTAAGAGAGCCCAAAGGGGCCCCAATAGGATCCCCAGCGCGCCCGAAGAGGAGGAGGGGGAGGGGGAGGGAGAGGGGGAGGAGGAGGAGGAGGAGGAGGAGGAGGAGGAGGAGGAGGAGGAGGAG